CCGGGGATCTGTTCACCTATGCAGATCGAAATCACGATTACTGGTCCGGATATTTCACCAGTCGACCCATTGAGAAACTGATCACACGTGTTTTGGAATCCGAATTGCGGTAAATATTGTCGGTATCCCGATTACTTATTATTTATGGTTTCGCATTACCCAAACAGAATGGGTCTAATTTCTTTTTTTAATTTTTTGCCGGATCTAAATACACGTCACCTCTGACATGTCCAAAACGTTTTTTTAAGGGAGTGTTGGATCACTTGCTTTAGAATTTATCGTGCTTTCTACACCTTAGGTGGACGACACAAGCATTTAACGTCGAGTGTGAATGAGTCAGTGGTTGTCCGTAATTAGTTCGATCTCGATAACCCAACCGACTCCAAAAAACGGCTTCGTGAGTTTATTTCGGTCTTCACCTCGTTGCGATCTGCTAGCTGACTCATACAACTCCAGATTATGCTCTGATTCTCAAAGAGGACTACGTCAACTTTTTTTCGTTTGCTTGAGTGGTCCATTGTCGTTGGTGCACTCTCCAACGAATTCACAAATTCAGTTTTCCTTCAGTCCAGTTGTCCCTATACACTCTTTGTCCATGTGGGTTTCCACTCGGTCCCTTCTCTATTAGCGATTGCATTGTGTTAGTGCAAGCTACGACTGATTCTTGAGAAATCGGGCTTTCACCTCACGTAATGCTCCCACGCCCCCCGTACACACGCATTTCAGTTGTCCTCGCAATAAACTGCCTGTGTGAACTCGTTAAAGGTTTGTATGTCATTAAAGGTCAACTATAGCTGTCATCGATTTCCCGAAGAGAAAGCGAATGCTGTGTAATGTGTAAATTGAAAAGCGGATAGGCGGGAACAAGCAGGATCTGTCCAGTTTGCACATAATCAGCTGATTCATATCTGATGTTCAGTTGTTCGCCGAGCTTGGCAATTGTATTGCAATAAAATTTGCGAAGCTCGGCGAACAACTGAACATCATATTATACCACCCGAGCTACAAAAACAACAATCAACATCGTTGTTTACTAAACTGTGATTCATATCTATCCGATGGTGATGTTGCGTGACCTAGTGGTATCATGAGGTTTCGTCAGAATTTTCACCACTGGTAATGATAACTGAAATACAGTGTTGACTAGCAGCATTTATCTGCAGAATGAAATTTTTCTGTCAATTTTCCAGTTCCACTAACCTAGGATTTTCGTTTGGTAGTGCGAAACGTGTCCTAGCTTTGCCACTGCTACTACCCAAACTACACCGGTGGTCGTATAAGGGATCAAATGTGTGGTGTGCCACGTGTCATTTTCGCGTCTCGGTTATGCATGAACCACAACCCTAATGCGCACCTCACTCACAGTAGGGTTCTCTCATCCACCTATTAGTCGACCGATCGGTCGAATCGAAGACACCACACACGTATGGCAAGCTCAAGTGCCTTGTCTATTGCAACCCGTTGATTTGACCAACACTAACCGCCTGCGACATTAGCTGATATGGCTCAGTAGCGGTTTCAGTGGGGTAATTTTCGTGAGGATCCTATCTGTTGATGCAAGAGTTTTCCCTATTCACCTTTTACCTTGAGTAGTGGCACTTTTTCCGATTTCCATTTGATTGGTAATATATATATATATATATATATATATACATCAGGTTTACCGGAAAGCTCTATCCCTCTCTATCACAACAAGTTTGGACACGTAAGCACATGTTTATTTGGCGCATGTGTGCCTCTATTTTTATCACTTAATGTGTCCATACTGACATAGAAAATTAACTCAAACAAAGTT